GCGAGATGACGGGGCGAAAAGGTGAAGACCAACAAAATCTATCTAAATGCTGATTCCACAACTGGGACAAGAAAACAAAGCCATCGGCGAACCACGCGTTTCTTCGTAGGGAAACACAACGCACTCAACGATTCGAGGAAGGAAGACGAGTTCACCGCCTTCCGTTGCCCACCCGTTGGGTAGGAATTTTGATGTCCTGCAGCTAAAACGCCGGAGGGTACGATGATAGAAGCCGTGCCCACGCGCATGCGCCCGTGCGATTAGCGATCACTCGTCCACAACACGACCGCATACATGCGTTATTCGGTCCGAAGGCCAAGCATAATTGTCTGGTGACCTTGCTGTTCGAGTACGGTTTGGTTACGAAACGTACACCCCGGGCGTGAGCATTTCACGGAAAAAAAGTAACGACTGCATGCGCGCCCTTGTACACCCCACGATGGCCTGTGGGCGAAGACACGCACGTCAGCTGACACTAGAGTGGCGTAACGAGTCTTGTGCCGGTTCGCAGACGTAGCTAGACGGACTCGAGAACGAGGCATGGCAAGAACCAGGGGTTCGCACCGGCGTGGTTTGCACATGAGACGACAAAACCGCACCCGGCAGATCGAACTTGAAGGAGCACGCGTACTGCGTACTACACCAAGGGCGCACGCCACAACACGAACGTTCTTCGCGTTGATCGCACTTCAATCGGGTTCTGAAGCTTCAGGATACAGCAATGTTCGATTTTCGTTCCTCGTTGTACAACGCGATGTTCCCCCCCCACCAAAACCAAGTGCTTCAGAGTCTGATTCCGTGTTGGTGGCAAGCTTTATACTCAAACGAGACTTGCGTAGCAACGCACCTAAGTGAACTCCTGAAGCCCTGCACCGGCCCCATCCACCCTGTTCTTCCGGCGACCCGTACCGTCTGCTGCACGTGTCGTTGTACATAAGAGGGAACACCTACCACAAAAACAACTCAAATCGTGCGACGCAAGCAACCCATTCGGCAGGCCAAGGACTCGGGCAAGATCCCCCTGAATAACACGCCCAAACATCGCAAAGCGCTCGAAAAAAAAGATAGGCGACAGTCAGCTATCCTTGTCGGCACATCCTCGGCTGCCGATACACACACTCATCGGAGGTACTTTGTAGGTTCCATTGCGGCTCCAAGACGCTCGCATCGACTAAGCCGATATGCTGCAGTTCCCCAACCCTTTCACTCCGTCGTCGCCGTTCTGCACGGCGAAGCCTTCCGCATCACGCACGTCCCCCTTCGAGAAGATCACGCCGGGTGCAGCGCATGTGTGAATTATCCATCCATCCGCTACTACTGATCTTAAGCTTCCGCGATCTCTACGACGATAGGGGGCTCGTCGAACTGGTGGATCGGCGGGGGGCTGGAGAGCGCCCACTCGAGGGAGTCTGCCAGCACCACCTTGACGACCTCTTCGTCCTCCTTCGTGGAAAAGAAGCGCTGCTGCTGCGGCGGCAAGGCTGTTGTTGCCGCCACGACCGCCCGCGGTGCCACTGCGCTCACCGCGGGTCTGAGGGCTACCGTTGCGACCTTGGAGACGGCGAAGCGCAGCATGGTTGTCTGGCGGTTTTGTGAATTCTCCTGTGGTAGCAGCACAAAGGCGGCAGCGGGCGTCGTCGTGAGAGACATTCGAGTCGGATGTGGCGCTCGTTCCATGGGTAAGAATACTTGAGGGCCCGTGTGCGGTGTACAGCAGTATAGTTGCTTCGCCATGGGGCGGGTACTGCTGTCGGGAACGGCGCGGCAACAACTTGGAACACTGTTTTGACAGAGAAGGTCCCCAAAGTAGGACAACGCGCTGCATCTTGGATGTCTGAACACCCGCACAGGCGTTGTGTATTTGGCGATTTGCGTTTGCGAGGGTAGTCTACACGTGTACATGTTGTGTACTATTTGGCGGGAAGGAAAGAACGGGAGCGCTTGTCTGCTGTGTGCACAGAAAAACTGCGCAACACACGTGCTTCGGACAGATGTGCAAGCTACTAACGATCTAATAGTCCCGTGCCGCATACGATGCAACACCAGTTGCTCTAAGCGTTAGCTTCCGTAGCTACTGAGGGTAATCACCATCCGTAGCGTGAGTTACGCGAGGGAGACACAAGGGACGGTGTAACGCTACATGAAGCATTTCGGGCAAGTGATATTCACCGTTATCCGACAGCACTGCCGACACGGGGGGGGGCGGCTTG